GTGGGACATCAGCGACCAGGTCTAGCCTTGAACTCACCTGGGAGCATTTGTCGACCACCTGCTGTTCTCGTCTGGGTGACATCATTGCTCAGCGCCTCTGTCTGTCTGCCTCACAGGTGGCTCCTGCAGCTGTGCTGGCTCCTGCACGTGCAAAAACTGCAAATGCACGTCCTGCAAGAAGAGTGAGTGTGGGGCCTTTCCTGGAGGGTGGGAGGGTCGCTGGGCCGAGTCAGAGCAGGGAACCCAGAGCCTGGCAGGCAGGACCAGGCCAATGACCAGCTTCCCCACAGCTTCTTCCCGTAGAACTAATTCAGGAAGAACTTGAGACCTGGTTGGTTTGCAGCCTTCATTCTTAGAGTAGGGAAACTGAGGCCAAGAGAGTGCACCAGCCTGTCCAGCTCTGACCTAATACTTGAGGACTTTCCTCACTTAAGTGCATGGTTCTGGGGGGCTGATCTTCCATTGCCCACCAAGGCCCTGTCACTGCCTTTCCAGTCTTCTGCCCTGTCTTGGGCTCTGGTAGGGCTGGATACCTTTTGTATAGGAAGACCCTCACCTCAAAGACCTACCGTTCTCTCCTGGAGGAGCATTCTTTCCTGACTCTAAGGGCCATCAAGGGCTGGGGGCAGAGCTTGTGTCAGGCCTGCAGAGTTTGCTCAAGTCTGCTCTGACCTCTCCCTCTCCCCTCTCTTCCCCAGGCTGCTGCTCCTGCTGCCCCGCAGGCTGTGCCCGGTGTGCCCAGGGCTGCGTCTGCAAAGGAGCATCGGACAAGTGCAGCTGCTGTGCCTGACGTTGGATGAGCCTTGTTCCCACATGTAAATAGAAGGTTGTGATCCAGTCTGGATTTCCTTTTCATACTGCCCTGACCCATTTGCTGTGATTTTTCTACTATGAAATAGATGAACAATAAAAAAAGTCATTGCCTTACTCTGGCTTTTGCTTCCTTTGTGCACCTGGAAAACAAGGAACCCCATGCCCAGCACAGCCGGGATGGAAGATGACATTGAGAGTCTAGACCATGGGTGATGGGACCATGTCTTGTCATCTTATACACTGAGGGCCTTAAGGTATATCAGGTTACTTTTCTCAGGTAACTTTCTCAGCTGAAATATAAGAGCATTGTGCCACATGATAGAAAGACATGAGAATCTGTAACAAATCTATCCAGTATTGAACACAAATGTCTTAACACTGTGATTAAGTAAATGAGGTGAAAGCTATGTTAATTAGTAGGATGTAAGCACTCCAATTTGTACAAATAATCAACACATTGACTCCCACAAGGGCATAAATGTATTCATTATCTAAGCAGAGCCAGACCCTGTCTCTAAAAATAGTGGGGCACTGTGGTAGTCACCTGTAGACCCAGATACTTGGGGGCCTGAGGCAAGAGAATCGCTTAGCCCAGGAGTTTGACATTCTGGTGAGCTATGATACCATGGCACTCTACCCAGGGCAATAAGTAAAACTCCGTCTCAAAAAAAAAAAAAAAAAAAAAAGAAAGAAAGAAATGTCCAGACAAGCAGATACCTACCCATGTTATTCTTGTTGTCATACTATAGTAGTCAGTGCAGTATCATGCTGTACAGGTCCACAGCCTAGGAGCTGTGGATACGTCACACAGCATAGGGTGGGTAAGCACATTTGAGATGCTTCAACGATGACAAAATTGCTTAAGGACACATTTCTCTTGATGCTTCTCATTTAAGCAATGTATAACTAATAGCTCTGATAAAACTAAATGATTTAATACATCTAAAGAATATACCATAGTGCCTTATAGATGGCAAGAGGGTTATGGTATTAGCCATTATTACTACAACTGGCCTAAATGTTGTTTCCCTCCAAAAATTCAGGGGTGGTTTTTCAGACAGAGTCTCTCTAGTCACTGTGGTTAAAGTGCTGTGGCATAGTCATAGCTCACTGCTCAAACTCCTGGGCTCAAGAGATCCTCTTGCCTCAGTTTTTTGATTTCTAGTAGAGATGGAGTCTAGCTCTTGCTCAGGCTATTCTTGAACTCTTGAGCTCAAGCAATCCATTTGCCTTGGTCTACCATAGTGCTAGGATTACAGGTGTGAGCCACCATGCCTGGCCTCAAAATTCATATGTTGAATCTATTCCCAATATGTTCACACCTTTCCAATCCAATATTTCAGCCACCTGCATACTCTGCAGGTCTTATTTTTGGGAGTGGGAAAGAGGTTGGTGCATAACTTATAATTATTCTACAGTTTTAAAAGAGAAAAACATAAATATGAACTCGTCTGATTGTTTTGTTATGTATTATAGGTTAATAAAACGATTAGGTGGTTTTGTTTACTTTTGTTTATACTTGTTTTGAGTGTGATACTCCTTGAAGCCCTCTCCAGGATGAAGTCCAGTCTTCCTCTTGCACGTCTCACAGTGTAAGACGTGAGAAACTGTAAAACAGTTTGTCTCTTTCCACCTTTCTCATCTCTCCTGCTGTAAACCAGGCAACCTTTGTTGATTTTTTTTCATTGTGCATTATAAAATGTGTCTTCCCATTTAAATCTCCTCTGGGTAAGAAGATAATGGTCATCCTATCTTTCTTGAATTTCTTTTTTGAGAGAGTCTCAAGCTATCTACCTGGGTAGAGTGCTGTGGTGTCACAGCTCATAGCAATCTCAAACTCTTAGGTTTAAGGGATTCATTTGCCTCAGCCTCCCAAGAAGCTGGGACTACAGGTGCCTGCCACAACATCCAGCTATTTTTTTGTTGTAGTTGTCATTGTTGTTTGGCAGGCCTGGACTGGATTCAAACCCGCCAGCTCCAGTGTGTGTGCCTGGTGCCCTAGACACTAAACCACAGACGCTGAACCATTCTTAGATTTCTGTTCCTCATGTTAGGCCTAGTGGGCCTCGGCTAAGACAGAAAGGTGTCAGGCCTAGGATACCTAGGCTTATAATGGAAAAATTTCCTATAATGGAAAAATACCAGTTAACTCCTGGAAAATTTCCAGACTGCAAGCTTTCCAAAAAAAAAAGAAAGAAATAATTTCACTCTCAAGATAGATGGGAAAGTACTAATTAATTTTTTGCTTCTAGTTCACCCCAAATTTCTTGCTTGGCTAACTCCCTAGGAAACAGACCGGGAGGTACCAATTGTTCCTAGACTGACTTTTAAACAATACCAGGTGGGGAAAGTACTGAAACTAAGATGTATAGGGGAAATGTACTAAAATTAAAATGTATGACAAATGACTAACTGCAAAATTCTGCTTCTGTACAATGCTTGCTTGCTACCCTATCCAAATGCACCTGGACAGCCTGCGTGCCAACCAGGATACAGACCAAGCCCTTAAGCACTCGGGGCTGCTCTCAGAAACCCCATGTTGGAACACTGAGGCAGTCGTTTTCAGCTCTTTAGAAAAGGGGCTCTGTTATAAATCTGGTTTGTTTGGTAGTGTGGTTTCTGTGGAACTCCTGGGCACAACACTCAAATTGCTCATAATCTGAGTGATAAGATTTCACCTGTAAGAAAGATATGCCTGCACTTTTTCTCCACTCTCTTTTCTATCCAATGAGTAGGGATGAAGCTGTTCACAACTGCAGCTTCCATCAGCCAGAAGGATAACGATTTTTTTCACCATTTGTAAGACACTCCCCCAGCCTGTAAATTTGTAACATACGCAGTGTTTGTCAGCTCTGTCCACTCCTCCCATAAACTTTGTGCATTCTAAAATAACTATCAGCTTTTTCAAATGGAACAGGCTGTTCCTTCCCATAACCAGTGATCAACTGTGTTTGAGGGCCATAGAATGTACTCAACATTGTCACTAACCTCTTGTCATGGTATGAGAGGCACAAAAAAATGTGTGGACATTTTCCACCCTCGGAGCACAACAGGCAAATCATTTTTTCAGATGAGGTCCTACTTAATAACAGGAAGAGTTTCAAGAGGAGGGACATTACATGACTAGATTATGAGAGTGAAGCTGTCACCAGTGGGATTCCTGACCTTAGAAAACAGGACTGAGGGAGCCTGTTCACCCTCCTATCATGTGAGAACCCAGCAAGAAGGGGACATCTGTGAAGCACAGAGCCGTCCCTTTGATCTTAGACTTCCAAGCCTCCAGACGTTTGAGCAGTAGATTTCCATTGTTCATATTACTCTGCCTAAAGTATTGGTTATAACAGCCTCAGTACACTGACACAATGGCATAGTTAACATTTTCACCCCAAATAGGCTACACCTAGTGTACCTGACTGTGTATCCTTTGCCTTTCTCTCCAGCCACGTGAATATGAGACCTATGGCCCAGAGTGGGTTCTGCTCTCTTCCCACAAAATAGGGATTGGCACCACAAATATAAGGCCATGAGCCGGACAGTCTCTGTCCTCATAACAGATATGGACGAAACCTGCCATTTCTGCTCCCCGTGCATTGGTATGTTAATTAATGTTTTTCTTTTAAATGATTCATATTTCCTTAGATAGATTGTATTTATACGAAAAGCATATGTATTGCCACTATTGGAAAGAGAATCGATTTTATTTCCAAACATAGAAGGTAGACATAAAATTGTTATAGATATGAGTATGCGTGTGTGCATATTGTATATATTATGTACATATTTTATATATATGTATCTTTTCATCCAGTATCACTTTTTCTGCTCCCAGAATTGATCCTGAAGTGTCATTGTTTTAAAGATTTCAAGCTGTAGACAGGTGTTGAGACACACCCTGGCTATAGGGAAACTGTATCGTTACTCTTTCCCTTGAGAAGCTGACAGAATTCAGATCCAGCAGTGCCATTTCCTCCACCTCTGACCCTGCGCTAGTTACTTCAATTCCTGGTATTGTCATTGTCTGATCAGCAAAATAGGTTCATAGATAGTATTTCCCTTTACAGTTGTCGTGAGGGTCCAAAGATAAAAAATGCCTCAACAGCGTCTAACAGACTGAGTGCTGCGGACAGTAATAGAAATACTGAAGGGGAAACAACACCTTTCTTTCTTTCCTATTTAATGCAGGGTTTGCACATCACCTAAAAGGATGCCTCTACCGAGGGCATCCTGCTGCGTCAAACTTGTCATCCCGCAGTGTGTGGGTTGCCCAGGCTGTGTGGAGACCCTGGAGTGTTTCATGCAAAGGAGAATCCAGACCAAGATTCCACCCCCACCCCCTCAGGCATGGAGAATGGAAGGGAAGGAGGCAGAGACCTGTGCCCACTGTTGCTGTGTACAGAAGAAACGTGGCCAAAAGTCTGAGACAAGCAAGATTCAAAGGTCACATCCTGGGTCAGCCGTTTGCACTCAATTTCTTCCTTGCACTCCTCACTCCGGTGGATCTAGGGACGTGAGCATAAGGCTGGGGCCGCACACGGAGTCCAGGAAAGGCAAAGGACACGGTGGGGGCTGGGGTGGGGATACCAAGACCACCAGGGGTCGGGGGTGGCGGGCAGTATGGCAGTACAGGGGAATCTGTGAAGGCTCCGGAAGACAGCAAGGACGCGGTGTATGGCTCGCGCTCAGCCCCTCCTGTGAGAGTAACGCGCGCCAGTGGCGCTGTCCCCGAGGTGCACACCTACCAGAGCCCTGGGACGCTGTGCCCGGCCCACATGCTGCGCACAGCCAGGCACAGGACCGCGGGCCGCGCTCAGTCTGCGGGGCGGGTGCAAAAGGGGGCGGGGCCTCTGCGCCCGGGGCCCTTCCCTGACTATTAAGGCAGCTGCCAGCGCCCGGGCTCCACCGCGCCTTCCACCTGCTCAATCCACCCTTCTCTTGCTTGGGATCTGCAGCCTCAGCTCCACTCCAAATGGACCCCAACTGCTCCTGCACCCCTGGTAAGACACGCTGAGTTTCCTTCCATTACCCATTTCCCAGCTCCACAGCAGGTGGTCCCGGGAGTGGAAGACGACTTCTGAGTTCTGGCTGAAGCGGATTCTTCATTTAGTTGGTAGTTCTAGCGTTTTCCTTCTTGCCTCGTTCCTTCATCACCTGGGTGCCCTTCTCCCAATGCTTCCCATTTAAGAGAGAGAGGAGTCAGATTTATCCTGCCCTCCTCCATGTCACTCAGGCTGAGCCCCAGTTGGCTGTCCAGCGTTTCAGTTGTCTAGGCTGGTGGGAGACAGAGGACATTGCCTTTCGGGATTAAGGACATAAGGGCCATCCTAGCCTGTGGGGAGAGTGGCCAGGTTAAACTTCATTGTTCCATGTGTGGGACATCAGCGACCAGGTCTAGCCTTGAACTCACCTGGGAGCATTTGTCGACCACCTGCTGTTCTCGTCTGGGTGACATCATTGCTCAGCGCTTCTGTCTGCCTTACAGGTGGCTCCTGCAGCTGTGCTGGCTCCTGCAAATGCAAAAAGTGCAAATGCACGTCCTGCAAGAAGAGTGAGTGTGGGGCCTTCCCTGGGGGGGTGGGGGTTGGGGGGTGGGGGCTGGGCTGAGTCAGAGCAGAGAACCCAGAGCCTGACAGACAGAAGCAGGCCAATGACCAGCTTCCCCCAGCCCCTTCTCTCTTTATCTCCTGCATCAAAGCTCAAAGAGCCATAGAAATGGATGTCCCTGCCTCTTACTATGCATAGTAGACATGGGAAACTGACCCCAGAGAGGTCACCAGCTAATGTCAGGCACTAAGCTACAACTTGAATCTATGTCTCCTGCTCCCCATTGCAGCCTTCCCAATCCTCCTGGGTCCTGAAGCACTTGGTGCACGTGATCTTGGGGATCACATGTGGTTTCTGACCTGCTGATGTGGCCCTTTCCTATTCAGGCAGCCCCGTGCTTCCATGGCCCTCCCTGCAACTACTTTGTGAGAGGCTTGCCCCGTTAGTTGAAGAGTTTCCTCACCTTAGTGTATGGTCCTGGGGGACTGGCATTCCTCATCCTGGAAGACCTTGTCGCTACCTCTCTTGCCTTCTGCCCTGTCCTTAGCTTTAGTGGGCCCAGGCAGCTTTTTGCATGGGAAGACCCTCACCCCAAACATCCCAGCTGTCTTCAGACTGAGCATTCTGAGCTATGGGTCCTCCAAGGCTAAGGACAGAGCTTGGATCAGACCTGCAGTTGGGGCAGGAGGTGTCCGATCAAGTCTGCTCTGACCTCTCCCTCTCCCCTCTCTTCCCCAGGCTGCTGCTCCTGCTGCCCCGCAGGCTGTGCCAAGTGTGCCCAGGGCTGCATCTGCAAAGGGGCATCGGACAAGTGCAGCTGCTGTGCCTGATGTCAGGCAATGCCTGCTCCCAGATGTAAATAGAAAGATGTATATACACCTGGATTTTTTTTTCATACAACACTGACTCATCTGTTATATTCCATTTTCTATGAAATATTTGAATGACAATAAACTCATCCAAACTATTCTGACTGCTGCTGCCTGGTTTGGTGTTGGGTATGTGGCACTTGGTTCCTGTTGGGTTGTAGAGGAACTGAGTTGACAGAGGCTGGGGAGAGGGGAGTGTGGAAGTGTGGGGCTGGGTGCAAGGTGTCCCGTAAGGTTGCCCTGCCTTTTCTCTCCTTTGTGAGTCATGGCAGGGGGTTTATTCTGCTTCTGTCTAGCTACAGTTAACTGGTGGTCCCTGTCCTTATTGTGTATCTGTGTCATTCTCAACAGCCACTTATGGGCACCTACTGCGTACAGAGTTAGGCAGGGGGTTCTGGGCGGGAAGGGGAACATGAAGGTCACAGACTGCTGGGGAGGACAGGTAATTACAGAATAAGAAGTCTTGTATGAACAAGATACAACTGTGACTGAGACTGTTCTTGGGTGAGCCTGAATGAGCTCTTTCCACCGAGACCTGAGAACTGCGTTCCTGCCAGGAGACACAGCTTGAGCAGAGGCCAGGAAATGGGAATGAACTTGGTGGGCTCAGGGAACAGAAAGTCCAGTGTGTGCCTGTGTGTGAGGGGAGAGGCCCACGTTCCCTTTGGAGAGGGGAGGGCAGAGACCACGTGTCACGCATCTGAAGGACTCTGCTCCTGGCTGTGCTGCCACATCGCTTGAAGAGGCTAAAAAAGATCTCAGTCCAGTGTCCTACTTTACCCTCTCCCAAGCACCCATTCTGATTTTTTTGGGTCTAAAATGGGCCCAAGAAACCTACATTTTTAATGAGTACCTCAATTTGCTACCCACTAAAGCAGTCACATGGAATCATTTGGTAAAATAAAATGGATTCTGCCATTTCCTCTCTGGTCTTATTTTCTACCCCAGTTGGTATTTGGAGCAACTCTGCAACATGTGGCTGCCTGTACTAGTGGCCAAGGGACTTGGACGTGCCCAGCTCCTGCCTGACATGGAGGGAGAGGCAGGCAGGTCTCTCCATGCAGGGCATGGCAAGTGTCCTCATGGAGACCAAACCAGGCTCACACTGCGGGAACCCCGCCATAGAGTGGGTGGCGTAGCGTCCAAGCTGCCGTTTTCCTAGGGAGAGAGTCTGGCAGGGACGTGGTAGGGCATGGGCACCAACGTGTTTGTCTCAGACTTGGTCTAGAAGCCCCACTGCTGACGTCACAAACGCACCCAGCCATCGCTCTTTCGCAACTCTGTTTGGGAAATTGCGGCTGCCAAACCTCTCAGGGGACGGGTACGTGATGATTTGAGCAGGCCTGACAAACGCGATCATTCAACTTGCAGCTTTTTATTTTCCAAGTCGTGTGTGAAGGGGCATCCTCCCTCCTCCCTCACTCCCATCCCTAAGCCCCGTCTTCCCTGGGGGGACGGGGTGGAGTATGAACACGGTGGACATCTGTTGGAAAGATTAATTTATAGTAAGTTGAAAAACATTGATGTGGCTGTTATTGGAATGCCTTGTTTAATCCCAGAGGTTTCAGTGCCAAGCACACGATCATGAACAGCCTGCTAACGTAGTTAAGAGCCTGGAACCTGGCTGCTTGTCTAGAACCGGAGCATCACAACATAGGCAAGCTATGTGGCCACCCTCTGCCTCACGTTTCTCATCTGTAAGATGGGGACAATAATAGTATATACCCCATAAGGTTATTCTGAGGTTGAATGTGTCTAGCACAGTCCCAGGCACATATCAAGTGGTCAATAAGTGCTACCTCCTGGACCAGGTGCGGGGCCTGACAATCAGTAGGTGATCTATAAATGCTCTCTACTCAATTCAATGAACAGGCATTGGACCCTGTGCTATATGTAAATCATTGTACTGGGCACAGAGAAGGAAGATAATATAAGATAATAAGAGCCAACCCCTTTGCTGGACTTATTCAAATCCCTGTTGAATCCAGGGAGCAATTATTTACTGCTTCAAGATGCATCTGCTGACTGGAGCAGAGAACTACCTGGATTCTGAACAGTTCTCCCTTTAGGAGAAGGACCAGTTCCACACTGGGATAGGGTGAGCATGAGGTAAACTAAGTCAGACATTTGGAGACTTAGTCTGACCAAGAGATCAGGAGAAAACTCCATTCACTCAATCATTCATTCATTCACATGGCCACATCTTGGCCACAGAATGGATGGGTGGGCTGGGCAAATAAGAGGTTAACTCTTCTGGAGGGGGCTCATGGCATTCTGGCCAATGTAGATGATCAGTATTGAATGAAAGGAAACTTGGGCTCGGCGCCTGTGGCTCAAACGACTAAGGCGCCAGCCACATACACCTAAGGTGGCGGGTTCGAATCC